CGTCTCAATTGTCCACTTCTTAGAAAAAGTAGGAGAGAAAAAACTCCCAACTGAAAGCTAGAATGAAGAATGTGTGTTTTTCCATAGCGTGACCAATTTCACAGTCGTTTCTGTTTCCCTTTTCTCTGGTTCTTCCACAGCTGTATCACTAAGCCCTTTGGTTATATTACTCTAAACTTTACAAATCATTTGCTGCTCTCACGCACCCTTCCCAAATCATAGAGGTCTGCAGCACATGGGAACAATTCTTTGGCTTGCGTGAGAGCTCGTGTGATGACACACACGTGTGTATGTGTGTGTGTGTGTGTGTGTGTGGGTGTGTGTGTGGGTGTGTGTGTGTGGGGGTGTGTGTGTGTGTGTGTCCTTCACTTGCTCTCCCGTAATGCCATTTCTTCCAGTAATCTCCTGTACTTCAGAGCATTTATAGTTAATGACAGGCACACACAGGTCAGCTGCAGGGCATGAACCTTGGTCATCTTGTTTAGGACCACATTTTCTGACCACTAGACAACCCTACCATCACAAACAATATTTTTAATGGTTTTCAAAAGTATTACATCACATACAGAAGAGTGGTGTTGCCTACAGCATTACCCTGGAGGCTCCTGTTTGTCAAGTCCAATTTATTCATGTAAGCCAAGTTCATCTGAGAGGACTTTACAGTCTGTACAGCAGACACAACTCAATCAGCTTCAGCTGGGCTTTAACACTTTTCTGAGAAAAATAAATGGGAGAAATTTCAGAACGTGCAACAGAGGAGTGATCCCTCTTTCAGGACAGAAAACAGGCACTATGTGTCATTTGCACAGAGCACAGAGCACACAAACAAAACAACAAATACAATACAGAGACAAAGAACTATAATATACAACAATAAACTCCAAAGCATCAGCGCTACAAGTACCAGATAAACAGAATAACTACTGACTTTCAATACAACCTAAACCTACAAATTCCAAATGTCAACCAAGAGTACACACAGACAAAATGAAGCATTGAGTTCCATTGCAGAAATTTTCTTTTAAGATAAAAAGTTGCAAAGTGTTAAAAGTGTGTGGAGCAAAGAATCTGTATCAGTCTCGACCACAGGCCATCTATGGTTTCCACTCAAAAAAAAATCTTGAGGGAGTATTTATCACTTACTCAACTTTAAGTCATGAGAGTATAGATACCAATATGGCCCTGGTGGATCTTTGAGTTTTGTGCTCCATAATAATAATTAACATAATGTGTCGAGTAGACCACCAGCGTTACTGTCACAGCTGCTTTATACAATATGAGAAATGTCGTAGTGTTGGCTTTTTGAGAAGCAAGACAACAAAATCCAGTCAGGCCTTGGTTTGGCTCCCTGTAGAGCAGGACCTGATTCCTCTCCTTTAAATGCAACCTTTAAGCTCCATTTTCTACTCATTTTCTGAGCTAAATACTGCATTCCCTCTGTTCTCACATTATGTATTATTTCTGTCCCCCTCCTCCTCTGATTCATTCCGACAAGTTGAACTTAGCACGTGCAGTGGCCTGGTCTGGACTCACTGATGAGAGGTAAGGAGAGAAGAGGAGTGAATGTTTCTGACTAACCTGGGTAAAAGTAATGGTTGAAGGTCTTGGACTGGCCTTCCTCTAAGGCACAGGAAGTGGTGCTTTTCATGTATCCAGCAGTGGCATCATCAGAGTCCTGAGTGAGTAAAACAAATGAGAGTGTCAAACCTGAAATAGGAATAAAATACATCTCAGTATGGACCACACTGCTCGACTGACAAGTGGTCCGTGGAAGAAACAGCAATAACTTTATAGCACATAAGATTTCACACACACAAATAAATAAATAAACAAATTAATAGGGATCTTGGGGATTTATTTTTTGACTTCAACTAGAATTAACCTGTTTGACGTTAGAATATTGAACAGCCTCACTAGCATTAACCTGGCCCTGGTAGGCAGGCGCTGATCCACGCAAAAAAATCTATTAGGATGAGTTCAGTTCTCTAAGTGAATGAGTACACGTGCAGAGTGAGAATATAAGCACGAGCGGAAGAGAGATGCAACAAGGTGGGATTTTGACAGGGTTTTTCCTTTCACATCCTATCACAGGGATGACCAAGTCGTCTCTGTCGATCGGGTTGCCATGGCAACTGGGCTTGAGCTGAATACTGAGACACACTCTCTAGACATTTCTCTGTGGGATAACATCGCCACAGTCACATGCAGGAAACATCTCATACAGTCGGCACTGACACAGATAAACTCGGATACATGCAGACACACACAAATTCATGCTTCTGAAGAGCATAACTGTGAATATGGATTGCAACTGATTACAGAACTTGTATAGATTAGCCTACTACTGCAGTACAGGGATAAAATGAAAAATAGAATATAAATTAAAATGAAATAATGGTTTAAGCTTCTCATATGTGAAACTTTGTAGATTTTCTCAGTCTTCTGTAATAGTAAATTAAATTTGGTCTGACAAAACAAGCAATTTAAACACATCACCTGGGGCTCTGGGAATATATTTACTTTTTTTTAGCAGTTTAAAGAGCAAAGGTCTCATTAATAAAATAACCAACAGATTAATGGATTATAAAAATAATAGTGTTGCTGTATATCATAGCCTTTGACAGTCAGATCTCATTTTCATTTTATAGCAACAATAAATCTGAAATAATGTTGAGCAAATCTTTACATTTTCTTGTTTGATTAATGGGGTTTCTGAAGGCCTTTTGGTTTAGGAAAAAAAATATTGAACACATTTGCCAAGAGTCCCAGCAGGTCCCCTCTCACAAACACACACACACCCATTGCCTCTAGGCGTAGTCTAACATACATGCCATGAGTGCAGACCAAAACAGTAACCTGTAGTCGGCACACCATTCATAAGACACTGTATACTTTTGCAAAACAAACAACATTTCTGCATTCTCGTAAAAGAGGAGGATCATCACGCGGATCAGGTACAGTGTGCATGCTCTCGGGCCAAGTTTGGTCTCATACGCTATTAAAAACGTCTGGAAAAAATCAAAGCGAACAGGGAGAGGCGTCCTTGTTATGCAACAGTATTGGGTTGCAAGTCAAAATGTCGTGGTTTGCCGGAGGAAATTACTTTCCTGGACAGTTTCGTTGAATTATTAACCAAGGGGTAGGGTGAGTGAGGGGCTGGTCAGGTGTGTAAATCAGCCTAATCAGGAAAACACATTTACACGTGGCATTTAAATCCCCATATGGCCATTAAGCTTCACTCATGGGTATGAATAATTAGTTAAGTAGTATAATAAATAACCCTCAATAATACGACTTATGATGTAACATTGTGATTTAAGAGAACCTGGTAGGTTCTTTCCTTCTTGTGTGTATTACATGCTGCAGTGGGTGTCCTACATGTAACTATACACTGTCCCTGAGGTTCAGTTATGTAACGTTTAAGACTTTGACATATGACACTTAAGACAGCTACCTTTAGTGTCTGCTTTTTCCCCCTGAAATTTTCCCTTGATGCAACCCCACAGGTAATATGATAACACATACCGCTGATTAGATGACATCTAAAGTTCAGTTCAGACTTAAATATTCCACACTGCACATTCAGATATATTTAACACATTTCCAGGTGACATACCTCTGCGCATTTTGTCATAAAGGGATACAAATATATAAAACAAATGTAAATTAAACGTTAATGAAACATTATGTTTTAAAAAAGTCCTTAATAACTAAGCTAGCTGCTGTTAGCAGTTAGCATTGTAGGCTAACTTACATGTAGCCTTACTGATATCAACAACCAACCAACCGTCAAACTGTCAGTGATATTTAGGCTAATAATATTCAAGAGGGCTAACGTCACCCAGCTCTATATTGTTTTATATTTTTGTCAGGAGGTGGCATTAGACACCCTGACTTTTATCACTTAAGTTACCCTACTTGATACTTTGTTCGTCAGTGAACTAAATTAGTTTTTCCACTTTGTTCAGCTAACGTTAGACAACAACAGCAATGGTCCCACATTATGTCGCGATAGAACCGTTAACTATAAATCATATACTTTAGCCGTTACTGGCTGCTAATTGGTTGTGTAACGTTAACAGTTACTCAGAAAACAATTCCCAGTTTTTACCAACTCTATCATCATAGTTTATCACTCACCAGTATCCGGAATGTATGTGTAACTTCCAATGCGTTTTAACACGAAGTTAAAATAAATACGGACATAGACATCTCTATCCGAGCTCAGTCGAAAACTGTTTGCTTCCTTCAATCAAAATCACCTGTGCTGCTTACACTGCTTACACTGGCCTGCCTCAGATAGTACCGTAAACCACCTAGTGGCATGGCGGGGTATTACATTTGAACACAGATCATTTATGGCTCCTACAATAATCCCGGTAGAGGTGAAAAAGAAACAGGGAGCTGCATCGAGTAAGGATTTTTCTTCTTCCAATTTTATTGCAAACAGTAATTTATACAAAGTTAGACATCATAGAAATTGTCCAAAAAATTACAGAGTGAAATCTGATTAATAAGAACAAAAAAACAGACAAACAACATTTAAAATCAAATAGTGGACAAATTGCAAAATTGTAAACAACTATAAGACAAATGGGTTAATTGTTGCAGAATGTACATTGTCCATCTAAGTCATAGCAAACCTAGACACCATTATCTTAGAAAGGTAACGTTAGAAAATGTGCAAAAATTCAAAATTAATCTCTTTCATCTTGTTAGAAATCTTTTCTGCCATTCAGTGTCACATATTTGTGAATTCCACAGTTATTTCCCTCTTGGCGTGATTTTCTTTTTTAGAAGATAAACATTGTTTATTAGTATAGTATTAGTATTAGTCTTAAATTTTTGATATTTATGTAATACAGGTTATAATCTAAATGTATCTTGATAAGACGTGTTTGCATAAACTTGAATCGACTAAGGAGATAAGAGCTACCGTGACGTTACGTTATGTCACTTCCGGCGTCCATCTTTCGATGGCTGAGGAAAGTCGTCGCGCGCAAGTCAGGAGCTCGAGCAAGAGTTAAAATTTCTTATTCTTTACGCTACAGAAAACAGAGTAGCCTACGTTGGTTTTATCTGAACAAATAACAATTTGACGGGTCAAAAGGTTGCCCAAAAAGCGGTAAGGGTTGTTTTTTAATCTTTGAGAAAAAACAATGGCTAACTGTTAATTAGCTAGCTTTATTTCAAACATCAATGTAACCGTTGTAACAGTGTTAAAAAACAAAATGGAGCTAACGTTGTATGAGAAATCCAAATTGCTGCTAGACACTCCCGAAATGAATGTGAACTCATTTTACCACATTGTAACGTTATTTCAAACTTCTGTACAATGTTTTGCCTCAAATTTATTCAAAGAAAAAAAAAACTCCTATAATGTTATTGTCTGAAGTCATGAATGGGCAGGTGTAAAGCAAACTCAGGTAAAATCTTGCCAGCCACAAATACAGTAACGCTAGCAATCCACTATGGTTTAACATGTAAAGTGGTGTGGGAAACCATTTGACACAGCCTGTCACTGTGGATACATCCATGCCTTTCATCAGGCCAGGTCCAGACACAAAACCATTTACACTGATAATGGCATCAACAAAAAACATTAAATTAACTTTGCAAAGTGTATTAATAGTTTGTGTGTAAGAAGAGAAGTAAAGGTGGGCCTTTCTGTAGAGTGAGAGCACTTAATCCTAGCTTAACATTAAACACTATGTGTGTCACATGTGATATTTAACAAGACATGAGGAACTCCCAGAAATTATTTCATGAGCTAACTAATTTTACTAATTTTTATAAAACTCATATTGGGTGGGAATTTACTGTTACTCCACCACTACTGTTCAGCTTCAATAATTTGACCACATCTGAACATTGAAATTGAAAGTGAGTCCAGTCCTTTGTGATAAATGATATCATAGATATAATTTCATGATGGTAATTAAAATCATTTGCCAGAAATTAATTTACAGTAAATGATGTACTTCCCCCATAGCTGCTCTGTGTATTTTTGGACTTTAGCAATGTTCCCGTAACCATGGAGATCCTGTGCAGAACAGCTCACATCCTAGAAATGAAACAGGAAACTGGTACATCATCTTTTATCATACTTGTCTGAGTAATGAAACTGATAAAGGTGGTAAACCCCAAATCTCTGGCGCATGCTGCTGCCACTTGATCTGAACTCATGACTAAGAGCTATTTTGCACTTGCCAGGTGGTGCACTGTTGTTCAGGAAATGAAATCACACCGACTGCACAACCAGGAAGACTAGACATGTGTTTGCCAGAAAATAATTGCAGAGGGTTTTTGACACTCCATACTTCCACTCAGTTCTTACATTTGGCTGAGATCTTAATGAGATCAAAAAGATGTTAGGTAACTTGTTGTGGATGCTGCTTGCAGTGTGAACACAAGCTATGAGTCATTATTTTAAGTCTTGTTTACAGTCTTAGATTTCAAATGTATAACATTAGTTTCTCATCAGTCTGCAGTTCTTTTATGAAAGTTAAGGGGGTATTTTCGGGATTACAAGCCACTGTGGTCTTGACACAGTCAGGTCCTGACATCAGTCACCAAGGGCTTTGAAATCATGGAACCCCTGACAATGCTGAAAATACAGTCAAGACCATCTAGCAGCTAGTTAAAGTTTATTACCAAATGGTGCAATCTGGCACGTGTTAGTAAGGGCTCTAGTAGAGTCGAGAGAGGAGAAGGGGATGAGAACATTTTAAATTTTGTCATCTGAAACAGCCGAGTAATTATGTTTTGGTGTAAGTGTTCTCCAGTCAATTCGTTCAGGTGGATTGGCAAAACTCACTCTATCATGGGGTTTTGCTCAATGGAAAAATAATTACCATTTGTTTACAGAATTAATAATCAATTTGATTAATTATACAGTGTATGTTTTCTAAGAACTGTTCGTTGATGCCAAGGGGAGGTTTGAATCAAATATCAGTGGCGAGACTGCAGTATCAGCATGTGATGTTTGTGTCCAGCTAAAATATTGTCTTTGATTTTGTTATTCACATGGAGCTACACCTGAGTTCTGGGCATTGCTTCCATTCCAGCATTTCCATCCTGTAACAGCGGTGGTCCTGGCATGGACCAGCCACAGTGTGATTACTGCAGTCTGAGTCACGTTCAGCTCATGCATGTTCCGTCTTTAATAGGATATTTTCCCTACATGCTGTGTGTTGATGGTGTACAGTAATGAGGTCAGATACTGTTGACACAGCTTTGTGTTTATTTAAACTAATTCAACTGAAATTAGAGGATACATTTTCAATTTGTGAAATCTGCCTTAAAACAACAGTCACATGCCCACATTGCAACAGGTTTTTCTGACTGTAATCTTTCCTCCTGCTCATACTGGCCATGAAGAGATCTCTTCCCCCATCACGTACACCGAAGAGATCTCTTTAGTGTACGTGACGGGGGACAAAATCCACATATGTGCAAAAACACATTCCAGTTTATCTGTTATAAACATGAGGCTTTGTCTTCTTGAGTAAGACCAGGGTCAGCAACCTTTACTATCAAAAGAGCCATTTTTGACCAAAATAATTAAAAAAAGAATCTGTCTGGAGCCGCAAAACATATTTAAGCTTTATATGAGGGTAACACAGCCTAATAAGTCTAAATTTAGCCTATCAACATTATTAATAGGTCTAAATGAGCATTCATTAATATGTTTTACCACAGGGTGGCTACTCTGTAGTGAGCTCTTTATGATTATGGATAAAAGATGACTGTTACTCATTTACATATTGTTATAGCCACAGGGAGCCACTGGAGAGGAGCCATAGGTTGCCTACTTCTGACTTAGATAAATCCACTGGACATCTTCTAAACTTTCTGTTAGCTCAAAATTACCTCTGACCATTGTTTTAAGACTGATTTTAGAAATGGTGTCCTTTAAGGCGGTGGCTAATGACATTTAGCAGCTGTCTTTAAAGAAAAGCTTTGTTAGCTCTAGCCTTGGGGGCGTCATGGAAGCACAGCTATTCCACCCCAGAGGCTTACTGCATGTGTGAGAGTACAAGTAAAGTAAGTTCATGTAGAGGTTGGGTACATGATATGTGGGAAAAGCTGTGGGGGAGAGAAGGCATTGCCAAGCTTGAGATTGATGACTGAGGAATGAGGTTTCAATTTTAGGTGGGACTTTGCCTGGGAATTCAGCCTGGGAAAATTTCAGATCTCAGTTTCCTGTGTTGAGCTGCGTGCAGCATTATGAGACAAAGGATTGTGCGCTCTGTCAAGAAGACAGTATGTGTCACTAACACACTCTAGCACAGAGGACACTTAAGGGAAACAAATTTTTTAAAGGTGTTTCAAATACTGTAGCAGCCTCAGGTGCCAAGACCATGTTTAATAAGAATATCTGTGAAGTTTTTGTAATATATTTAACATTTATTTCTATGAATACTTAAAAACATATTCAGCTGTTATTTTGCCCTGTTGGGAGAGAGACAAGCAGGGAGCACAAACCTGTTCAGACCTGTTAAAGTTTTACAAGTTAGAATAGTTTGAATAAATAAATAACTTGAAGAACATGAAAACTGTTCTTTTTTTAAACAAAATCCTTATCCCAGTTTGCACAGCAAAAAAAACATTTAAAATGCAAAAAAAAAAATGTTAAAAGTGTTAATCTGATTTTGATATTTACAAATGAATTTATAACATCGCAAAAAAGCTGTGCAAGTAAACTAAATGATACCTGCGTCTCCCCTGAATGCTAAAGCAAATAAAAATAAATGATTGTATCCTCAGCTGACTTTCATGGTTAAATATAGAAAGTGTTGTTGTGCTGTAGGAGACAAGGTGAGTCATTCATGCTGCGTTTGCCATGGACTGTTAATGGGGGAAGCCTCTCTGTATGTGTTTGTGTGGAGGAGCAAAGTATTTCCTGAGAGTATCAGTCATTTAGATATGTCTGCATGCTCAGGAAAACACCATCCATTTCACCAACCAATCCATGAGTTGTATTATGATTTATTTGTACATTTCTGTTTAAGTATAAGACATTAATTATAAGTCACCTTGTTCAGGTTAGTCTGCAAGGTGTCTGATCAGTTAGTTCATTTCAAGGTGTACTTTTACAACAATTTCTAGGACCTCTATGACTACAAGTCAGATGATATATATTTAGATGCATATCATCATATATTTAATCTGATCTTTTTTTTGTGTTGCAGATCACAAATGGACTGCTGTGAAGCAGTAGCTGGCTAAAAAGACCTGAAGATAAAAGCCAAAACATCTTGAGACTACAAATTCCAGCTGATATTCGAATGAGATTTTTCACATTGAGGTAGGTGCAGTTACAAAGAAAGACAGATACAGTATTTTGCCAGTGTATAAAATGGAATTTTAGATGGTGTGCAGTATTTGTGCATCTGTCAGCATCATGAAGCTCAGCTTAATGAAGAGACCTGAAGTGTGTGAGGGGTTTGGTTGAGCTGTGTGTGCGGGGGTGAGCTGCAGCTTTCTGTGAGGAAAAGAGACCGTATGCTTTAGTATGTGACATTAAGGAGATGGTGGGAAGCAAGTCAGTGACGAGTAACAAAGAGCAAGGCATACTGTGCCTTCTTGGTAGAAGTGCTTCTGCATGTATGTGTATGTACATGCACATGGATATTGGAGTGTTTTTATACATACATTTATATTTTCTGATGCTGCTGCATTCTGGCAAAGAAACAGCTCTACCATGGTGGGAATATATAAGGGCATGTCCTACATACACACACTCCCAGGTGGGTCCACAGGACACCTCTTAGTACACCTCAACATAGCTCAGACCAGAAAGGCAAAATGCAGACAGTACCAAGAGAGTTCAGAGTCTCAGAGTCACAGTAGAACGCCCGACTGATTTATTTGTTGCTGTAAATGTATAGCAGATAAATTTATAACTTAACTGTAAAAATATCCTGTCCTGAACATGTCTTTTTGCAAGTGCCAAATTTAAGGGATCTTGCCAATAGTTTTTGTTGAAAAAGAAATAGATAATATGTATATTAGAATCAGCCAGGCTCTACGGTTCACAGTTTTGCCCTAGCAGCGTGCATGCAGTGGACCATTTATCCTCTCTGCAGAAAGTTCTTACAAAGTGACGTTAGGTAGGAAATAAGCAAGTAAAGCTCTTAAAATATTTTTAAAAAAAATATTAGGCCTTTATTTTTTAACATGGTCATAAATTTAAATTTTTCACAAACTTTTTTTTTAACATTTTATTTAGTGTTCAGTTTTTCAGATAACAGAAGATTCCCTGAGATAGGATCTCTTAAAAATTATATATTTAAAAACAAACAAACAAAACAGAACAAAGCAAAGCATAACAATAAGAGAATATACAATAACAATATACTTGCAGACAATGAAAAAAGAATTACATTAAATTAAATAAACACAAAACTAAAAATAACAAAGGGGGGTTGCATTTACAACAGAGCAGGTTTAGTTACAGAGGAACACAACAATGACATTTTGAGTGATATTCCACTGTTATACAATCTATTACTATTCCCAAACATTTACCATAAACATGTTAATTTATTTCATTTATCAGTCTTTTAGTGTTGTTGCCAAAATGAATCAAGCTCTTCTGTGTGAAACTTACATTTCTGATGTTTATGTTTGAATCTGTAAACCTACCACTGAACCCAAAACTGTCTTTTTATTTTTTTAAAGCTTTCAATTGAAGTTTATGATACCTGTTAACACCCTGAAGTAATCAGCTCCTCAGCAAGATAAAAGGACGGGTAAAAAGTGTAATCCAGATTGCCTCTTATGGCATCTGAAAAACATTTACTATCTGTTGAATCCCCCTATTGTTACCGATTCATTGCACTCAGCTGTAGTGAGGATCTTAGTGTTACATATAATGAAATTGCAGTGAGAACACAGCTGAAATATGCCAAAAAAAATTGCTGTATACTTCGAGGATTACCCATCCACTCCCACCCATTACACAGACATACATGAAAACACACTTTCACGAATTTTGCACCACAGTAGAAGATTCCTACTCCGTTACGGATCCTCTTCCCTCCTGACTCAGGACATGTGGTTGGTCCTAGTTGCGTTCACTGCCTACATGTATTTAAAAGGCCTGTAAAGGAAGGGAGAACAGGAACCATGAACCAACCACCGGAACGGGTGAACCATGATCATCAATCATTTTGTGGACCGTACTATGACAACATATACCTCCTACATCATGAAATGAATCTGCCTCATAACCTGCTATAGTATGTCAGAGGCAGGTTCCTTGTTCTCACCGCTGTCAGATAGAGCAGATCTTAAAAATCTACACTCCTATTTTAAGATGCCTCATGAATTATGGGTTCAGTATTAAATGCGTCACTGGGAGGCCTATCTGGGCTCCTACTGGCACGTCACAGCACACACACACATAACCTATATTAGCAACATTCTCGTGGGTGTCCAGCCAACCTAGAGTGAGCCAGTAAGCAAGCGTAGGCAAGGTTTTCTCTCTTTTTTTGGTCCAGAACTAATTCAACTATGGGGTTTTCTGTTCCCACCTAAGCTCTAGGTTGTGCAGTCATTCAGCTCAATCTCTCCGTTATTGAGGTCATTCACCAGTTAAACAGAGCCAAACCTACTAAATCAAATTAATATCAAGTAAAAGATATTTTGAAATATTTAACTTGATGTTATTTCCTGTTAGGGAGTGACAAACTCATGCCTGCGCTGTTTGTGTTGTCTTTAAAATACTGCTTTGAAACTCCCTGCAGTGAGTTCATCTGGCTCCATTCTGTCATCTCAGCCATGCTGTCCAAGCAAAGGCCGGTACTCTTGGGAGTGGCCTAATTTAAACTTCTCCACTGTTTATAGATATGAGTTGATTGTATAGCAAGTTTGGGCTCTGTTTATTTAGGCTTGGGCCCTGTGTGGAAATGGTAATTGGTGTGAGTAAGAGGAACTTATTGGACCGGTGTTGACATCCTGGAGACCATTAGGGAGACCACAGACCAGACCGGCCCAGTGTCAGAGGGATGAGCTCATCTTTTCCATCCCCTGCTCTGGGGCTGGAGGGGTGGACTTGGTTTTCAGAGGGGGCTTTTAACATGGGGTTGACTCTGGATGGGGTTTGGGGTCAGGGAATAGTGCAGGCTGACAGTGTTTGCTATTAAACTGGTGCTACAGGGCAGGAAGGCAGTGGCAAATGTAGTCATACAAGATTGTAATTTCACAATTCAAGTCTCTGCAAGTTGATTTTCATTTTGTACTCAACTGACCACTTTCAACTGGGCCATTGGGTGGCTGGTGCAAATTCCGACCTAATATCTTCCAGTATGATCAACTATGTTACATACAACGCTTTTTAACAGCTGACTACTGACTGATCACCTGACTTGGCATACATTTCCGTCCAAGCTTACTCCCATCACTTGCTATAAGAATATAAATCTCTGAATCAAAATACCCCCAGTGGCAACAGACTAAACAAGCCAAATCCAGCTATGAGCGGGCAGTCAGCCTCCTCAGCTTCATCAAGTAATTAGGAAGTGGGTGCTAATTACACAGAAAACCTTGCTGCTTGATGTAGTGTGTATGTGTGTGCCTGGCCCCCTGGGCAGGGCAGCAAGTGGGGTAATGACAGAACAGTGCGTCTGGCAGTACTAACAGACAGAGAGTATCAGTAGTGGCTGGATGGCACGTAGGCACTCAACATGGCACCCTGCCACCGCCACGCCTTATCGGCCCGCATGCCTTCCCCTGCCTCTAAGTGGAGAGTGAGTTGTTTTGGTTTGACTGCACTCACTGCTGCCTAATCTGTGGGAGGCTGTGTGTCTGTGTACATTTAATGACTGCTGCTTAATCATCATCCTTCATCAGGGCATTTTGGGGGTGGGCAGAGTTGGAGCAGGGCGGAGGTTTGCAGGGATGTTGCTTTAGCAATGTGCAGGAAATGGCAGGAGGCCTTGAGACATGAGACGTGACAGTTGCAACATGAGCCAAAGGAAGTCCCATGCAGCATGAAGATGACGTTTACTGAGAGGCATCATATCTGTAATACTCCTGCTTTGTGTTGACATTCCTCAAGCTTAGTGTAGATTGATCCAGGTACTCAAGGGCGTCGCATACTTTTAGCTGACAAGGGAAACAATGTTGCATCAGTGCACAAACCTTTGCTGTGGAAGTGAAAGTAATCATATTAATACCACTATTAAAACCCATTTGGGATGCAATGTTTGTTCATCATAAATCCAGTTCAGTTTGTCCAAGTGAAACCATTTATGCTTTGTTAGACAGTGTGGAAGGTGACAAAATGTAAACAAAGTGCATGAATGAATACATATTTACTGCTAAGTGGAGGGGATGAACCAATTTATTAGCCGAACATCAGTTCTGGACAATTTTCATCTTGTTGACTGCCATCGGTTTATCTACAAAATAAGATGACATTCACTGATGGGAGATGTTTAGGCAATTTTGTGCTGCCCAAATGTTGTGTTGATTATTTGCGGTCAACTCAAACAACAGTAACTAGCATGCCCAGCTGCTGATTCGGAGAAAAAACCACAGGCTGGATATGACTCTGACACTGTGGCGTGACATAAGAAGGCAGTGGGTGCTGTATGCACGTGTGATTTGTTTAGAGAAAAAAAAAAGTTGGCCATGTTGGGAGTTTTACACTGTCTTGGAGAAAGATGAGCAACATGTGGTTTTTAAGACATATTTCTTTGCAGAGGCCCCATTGCCAGAAATGAGACCACACCACACTTAGATGTTGGAGAAATAATCACTTCTGTTTTCCAGCACTTGCACGGCATGCAAATACCGAGGCATATGTGCTCCATGCACTAGCACAGGCAGTGAGCGGATCAGTTCTGTGTCTCACATCATGGATCAGCAGAGAAATAAACTCAGCTGAAACAAGGCATAGATGCTCATCTTTAGTAACTGTAGTAAGTTTAGGTATAGGTAGTTTTATAGCAGGTTAAAAAGGCTTTTGAAGCAGAAAAGAATGGATATTATTCTTATAAAAAAGGTTATATTGAAGGCTGTTACATGATTTTCTATGATTGAATTTTTGCTCTTTTAAAGATAGTGTATAGAAGCACTGACTGACTTTAAACCCGTTCAGTTTTTTTAATACTTAAGATTTATAAGTATAAAAGGGGGATTGAATAACAACAGAAACAAGTTAAACAAGGAAAAAAACCTGGTATCTGCAACGGCTATCAGCCAAATTGTTATTTTAAGCGCAGTATTGGCTCAGAATTTCACAACCGATGCATCCCTACTAGCTGGTGTGTCAGTGATGGGTAGTTGTGAGTGAACCTGATGATTTGATAGTAGGAGAAAAGTCACCCTTCTCTCTTCCTGTTGGTTTGGTTCACATCACTGCATGGTCATGTGCCATTGGGCTTTCCCTGCTCCTCACTGCCCTGCTCCTGTAGCACTGAATTAGAGTCATCTCACTTTCACCTCAGTAAATATGGCAAGAGAAGGAACCTCATTGGATTGGTTTCAGCATTTTTTGTCTTTCTTTTCTTTTTTTTATTACAAATTCCAGTGCTTTTTAAAGGTGGAAAGGTGACTTGAGTTTTGCATCCAGGCACATTACCTAGTATCACTCTCTCTGTCTGTTTTAACTGGTCTTGTTGAGGCCTGCAGCCTGTCTGTCTGAAGAATCATGAGATGATGACCTGCATGAGGATAAAATGACTAATCTTTTAATGACTTTAATGATTAATTATTTAGTCTTTAAATTGTCAATAAATATCCTAGAATCCTTTTATGTTTCCAGATTGCTCATGACCAACCGCTAGGAAACTGGAAAAGTTGTTATAATTCACCATGATATGAAATGGAGAAAAGCAGTCAGTCCAGATTTTTTACCCAGAATAGGTTCAGTATTTTTCGACAGGTATCACAATTGCCACTGATTTATTCTTTTGTTGATATGTCTTATGAATTAATCAACAAAAATGTTCTGCACTAGCTGTTATTGGTGCTGAGGGAAGAGCGCTATTTATGCAAGATTGCTGTTTTTGCTTCATGGGGAGATTGAGGATGTAACTAGAACTCATTTGATAAACGATCAGCAATTCAGGGACCTGAAGTGGCATCACCATACCTCATCCTCCACTCCCAGTGGTTTTCTGCTTGCCAGATTATAAAGGCAGTTTGCTGCTAAATGCAGATGTCCCTTCTGAACTGTATTCATACAGTAACAGATTGATGACCCATTTGAAAATATCTTGCGTTTTTTGCTGGTGGCGAAGACAGTCCTGGACCTGCAAACAGATGCAGAGAGACATCACGTACAGTACAAAGTAGCCAGACTAGAGCAACACTGCACCCCACAGGCGAAAGGCATGAGCAAAGGTGGGGAGAAAGTAGGTCAGAGGGAGGAAGGTGGAGGGTGTGAGCGTGCGGGAGGGTGTTTGGGTGGGGGGTTAATAGAGACAAGGTGGAGGGTAGGAGAAAGGGAACAAAAGAGCTGTATGGGGAGGGGATAGAGATGAAGATTTGCTTTTTCTTTTGCATCTTTTGAAGTAAACAGGCTCACTTTTCACAAGTTTCTGCCATCTGGGAGGTATATGAAATGTGCCAGAAATAAGAGCATCCTTGCCCATAGTCTATTTCTGAATAGAAAGTGTCTGTCTAAATGCCAGGGAGGCTGCGCTGCTCTTAGGAGAGAGTGTTTTACTGAGATAAGGACCAGAGAACGTGTAAAGCCAAGTACTTGAATGTGACAATGAAGTGAAATGTCGTTGGTGTCACTGCAGGAATCAAGCTTATTTAATGCTACATTATTATAATAGCCAACCTGTGCCACCAGAGACTGTCATAGCTAACACAGGGAGTAGTATTACAGTGAACCTGTTTGTATGTGATTGATGCTGTATCTGGATATTGGGAAATCAAAAATGGATTAGGTTTTTACCTGATTTCCTTCCTTTCACTATGTTTAATAAACATGTATATTTGTGTCTTTGTGATGCTGCTGATGCCTGTGACAAAATGTTTTACTGTCACTGTACTGTTGATGAAAAAGGAAACCGACAGCAGCTGTAGAAGTGGAGCAGAGATAGAGGGTTTGGAGAGGAAAAGCGCACCGTGTTAAAGTGAACAGTAGATGGCGCCAACAGCTTGTCATTTTTGGGTTCTTGTTGGGATGTAATCAACAAATTTTTGGTACAGTTTATCTGTAATTGCCAATGCCAAATGCCATTTCTGTCTTTATAATATTAAGTGTACTACCATAGTTAAAAAAAAAAGATATTTAATCAAACATATATTTGGTTTGTTTATTGTCCCTAAATATACTTACATAGTGAATCAGACACTTCTAAAATTCAGGATAACAAACTTCAGAGGTGAGAGAGATAAGTAAATTGCACTGATTTTTTTTCAGCCTTTAATAGAGTCAACAGATGTTTCATCAAACAGTGTGACACTAAATTAGTCTTCATCAGAGCAAACAAAATTGATAAAGTTTGACTCGTGAATATTTGTGGGCTGAATAGAATTGTGTTGGCCTCTGTGAAATTGGCCAAGACTGCTTTTTTCACATTCAGAAGGACTTGCTAGAACCTAAAATTAAAAGTCCATAAAATTAGTAATGTAATACACAGATATAGGTTCACCTAAGAAACTTTCGGACTATTGAAAAGTCTGGGATGTTGGATATAAGATAAAAGTTTGAAGATACAGAGTAACAACATTTATAATAAATGTAGGTGTGCATAAATTGTATGCATACCTACAGTCACAAATACTTGCCATCTGTCTGTACTGCTGATTAGGAAAACCCATTCACGATGTGTGTCTCCCTGCACTGCAGCAAAGGACATGTTGACCTTCGCTGCCCGACTTGTCTAGCCTACTGTGCCACATTACTATTCTCCACAGGTTATGTCCCCGTGTAGTCATGTGTACGCCTTCACTGGCACACTTGCAGTTGTTAATTTATGCGCTGGCATCGGCATCAGCATACGTGCGCGTCCTGTGAGCAGCTCAGTCTGGCAGAGTCCGTAGTGGCTCCTCATTCTCGTCTCCTTCTTCTTTTTTTTCCAGCGAATCATCCTTCTCCTCTGTTCGTCTTCTCCCTTCTCATCCCTCTGTCCGGCTGGAGTGAGGACAAGGGGGTCCATGGAGAGAGCTTTAAATGGCTGAGGAGTTGTGTACCGGTTGGTTTCGCATCGTTGCAGGTACAGTAGGTAAAACCCCTTTCTTGACCTATCCATACAGCACAGCACCTCCTCAGCAGTGAGATTGTGGATTGTGATTGTAGCTTAAAAAAATGAGGGAGGAGGTCACTCTCTTTCCTTCCTCTTTTTTTTTTTTTTTTTTTTTTGATTTTCTCGGGGGGTTCACTCTAGATTATCTGATTTCTGTCTTAAAATGGGTTGTGTTATGTCTTGTGAGTGTATGCGTCCTCTCAGAAAGTGCACCAGGAAACAATCTGTTGTTTAGATAGAGAAATAGAAAAAGGTAGACAGGATTTGTAAGGAACAAATATAGAGAATGAGAAAGATGAAGGGAATTATATGGATTTTTCATGGCATTCAAACTATTCATTTCCCTAAAGCTGCATGCTCTATCTACCCTTTCTAGATTTCCTTTACTGTCTTTTTTTTTTCTTCGTTCATTTTGCTCAAACAACATGAGTATGCCATTGAGAACGCATGTCAAATCCACTGCATTGCAATGTTGTGCAGTCATTTAGATCCTGTAACAGTGACATTGTAGGGTTGTTAATTTTCACTAAGTGACAGTATAGAGAGATGTTGCCTGATTTGTAGTTTTTGAGCGTCTGCTTCTAAGTAAGTGTCACATGACGTTTAAGTCACTTGACATGCTGAAGTGCACTAACAAGTGTTGTGGCTGTGGTTGCACTGTTTTTAATGCTATTGAAAGTACCGTAGTTCAAAAATGAAGTGACCTACTGACATCTTACCCAATTGTTCCATAAATCAACACCCACAATAGACAATTTTATGAAATGCCATTTATTGTTATAGCAAATAAACTCTGGGGGATTCTAAGATGTGAAAATAGCTTAAAGACTAAAAACAGTGTTTTTAATTAAATTACATTTTGACTTAAACTTCGATGGTCATCTTTGTGTATTTATATCAAAATGTCAAAGACTTGAAAACCTTTTTACTTCAAGAAATGTTCACTGAACCATATCAAGTAACACTGAGGACATTTTTTAATAATTTTTTTTATAAATTATAAATAATAAAAACATTAAAGTTGCATCACAATTTTTATGATGCCATATGTTAAGTTTTCCCTTCAAACGTCAATGTTTGATGTATGTAATGTTGTATAATTGGATTTCTCTGCAGTTTGGACAATATCAGCATGCATATGAGTGGGATGTTAAAACATTGTTAAAACTCCTCATCAAGATGGTCATAAATGGCACTTCTCTCTGGTATATTATGCAGAATATGCCCACTTATGTACTGTACAGCAGTGTGGGTGTGATTGTTTCATCCTCTTCATAGTAAATGACATAAGTGTGTGTCTTTATTGAGGCTGCTCAAACTCCTGCGGCTCCAAAACAGAGCTTATAGGGCATTAGGCTTTATTTAGCAAATCCCCCTCCCTTCCTCCTCCCTTATTCTACACTCCTCCACTAGCTGGCATGCCAGCATTTGTCAGCTGCAAAATCACTATGCATATTTATATGTTATCTCTTTGGCCAAATATCAGCCTTGTTGCCACGGACATGCTCAGTACAGTGTGTATTGATGGTATCACAGTATGCTGAGCAAATATTCAGAATATCAACACCAGCACAGTGGTAAACATCACTCATGATTCTCAGTGAACGCTAGATGGCAGTGCAGGAAAAGATTGGGAGTGAGCAGTGGTGAGACAAGAGGAGTAATGTGGAAGAAAACAGGAGAGGGAACATGATGGGAAATAAAGATGTGGACAGAACAGAAAAGATGAAGTAGATAAAAAAGACAAAAGAAGAGAAGGCAGCAGAAAAAATCAAAAAAGGGGAGAGGGCATGGAAGTCGTCAAATACAGCTTTGGGAGTGAGGGGGAGAAGGAGGGGTGAGGGGGAAGGGAGTTAAAGCAGGGGGCAGGGTGGGAGGGTGTGGACCCTCTCTTTGGGAGCATCTGCTGGGTGTTAAGACAGAGGAGCTGGGCAAGTAAAGACAGAAGGATGACAGGAGGGAGGAGGCAAGTGACAGAATGAGCCTCATAGAGGTAGCTTGACAAACATAAAAGGGTAACAAACAGGGAAAAGGGAGAAATAAGTAAATGAAAAGGGAAGAAGTGATAAATGAATGAGAGGAAGAAAGAGATTTGGAGGGAGGGAGTCACCATCACATGGGCTTAAGCATGACTGGGGAAGATTCATGGGGCATGGAGAGGCACTCAGCTGGCTCTTGATAAAGCATGACTGAAGACAGACAGACAGATAGAAAGAGGGAAAATCCAAACTTATTTGTCCCTCTGAGGGAAATTAGTCACAGGTTTTAGTGTTTCCCATAAACACACAGTATGTATCTGAGTATGAATATAACAAAGTTATGAACATGCTCTCTGCCTGCTTCAGAAGATTTATGACAGTACAGCCTGAGACCCACTAGCATAGGAATGCTCAGCCAACTTCTGGCACATTTTTACCATGTCTTTATAGCTGCGACTGTTCAGACAGTTATTAATAATGGCTGTGATTTGCTAGTGAGACATCCACAATCTCATTCTTAACAAGAAAACAATGCACAGATCGGTAGCTTTCAAAAACTAATCTTGAACCAGTAGTGGTTTTTTTTTGTGTTATAAACAACTCTTAGCTAGTGTTGAAAAGGTCAATTCAGTTTCTCTTTCTGTGGAACTTACAATTACATTTGCAATATAAGGAAAACCTGTAGATTTACTACTAGGAGTACTACTGTGACTACGGTCACTACTTCAGCCACTACCACAAACAATAAAAAGTAATGTTCCTTGAACCAATAGTTAAACTACAATATACTCAAGTTGTTTGCAGCATTCATCCCTGTTTCATACCCAGATTTTTTATTTTTCTGGTGAAATATAACTTTGCTGTTTCATTTGTTGTTGTTGTTGTTTTGTAGGCTTGCCTAATTGTCAGTCTCCTCTGCTCTTTGGTTTGTCCACATAAACATTCACCCCCTCCACCTCCCCTCCCTTTCTCTCTCTGTGCACCCTCTCATAGAAAATTAATCAGCGCACACACAAACACAAGCGCACACCCCTCTCCGGGGGCTGTTCTGTCATCAGCCTTTCCTGCTCGTTGGTTGCAGCTGTAGCCTGCGTTGCCATGACGTCACGCTGATCGATCCTCATCCCAGTGCAGTGGGAAAGCACAGAGACAGGAAAAGACAGCCAAGAGAGAAGCAGACTGGCAGAGAGAGGGAAAGGTGGGAGGGAAAGGGGATGAGAAAGAGAGGGCAGAGTGAAACCACACCTTATTCCAAAGAGGGCGGGACACAGGCAGCCACACACAAGCTGCTACTACAGGAATAGTCCCTGTGCAGGAGGGTGCAGGGCAAATATTTTGTGCAGTGCTGTGTTATTATAGAGTCCGTGTATGTGTGTGTCCTCAACATGGGTTGTCACTTGGCTCACACCTGCACATTACTCTCTCCGCGAGCAAATAAGTAATGTCATTCACCGCTGAGCAGGTTCGGCACACTGCACTGGCATAAGGTAGGGTGCAGGGAAGGGGGTGCGTGTGTCTGTATGCATGTGTGTTTAACGGATTTGTGTATGCTCTGTATTTACTCTGTGCATGTCTGGTGGCTTTTTCTGTGCCTCTATTTGGATGTGTAAACGTGTGTGTATTCAGTGTATGCGCACAAGCATTTGTCAAGCAAGAGCGGTCACTAATGTAGAGTGCTCTTGGGCTGTGGTGTCAGGAGATTCAAGCTGTAAGCCATGTGACTCCACAGAGAGCTGCAGGGATTGGCTGAGGCCATCACTGACCTCAGCAAAGTCCCTCCGCCCCTGCTCAGCACTACCACCCCCTCTGTCAAACACACATACACACACATAGCCCTCCCTCCCTCTCGATCTCTCCGCCTCCCTCCCTCCCTCTCTCTACCCTGCCTCTTTTATTTATTTTTTTCCTCCAGTTAGCTTTTCCCCCCACCTCTCAGCATCCTCGGCTGAATGTGTAGGTTAGAGCCGCAGTAGCAGCAGCAGCAGCAGCAGCAGCAGCAGCAGCAGCAGCAGTAGCAGCATCCATGGCTTAAGCCCCAGCTCTGATCGGCAGCTAGCCCGGCCAGGCCCCTACCCCTCCTCTCTCTCTCTTTCTACCTCTCTCTGTATCTCTCTCTCTCTCTCTCCCTCCTGGGCTAGTTGACAGGCGACGTCTGGGGGTGTCGAAGGCTCACAGTTAGCCAGGGCGTTAGCCACATGCACACGGCTGCTCTGCTGCCCATCAATTCTACTGTATCTCTCTGGTAACCGGGGGCTTCTTCTCATCTCCCCCTCCCCACGCCTCCTGTTTTAATTTCAGGCTCTTTGGAGATAGAGGAATGCAAATCTGCAACCATGATGGAAGGTAAGATGATTTTTTTTTATTATTATTGTGCTGTCCCCTTTTCTGTTGTTATTCAGGGTAATCCCCCTTCATGTCCTTGTACTACAGCGCTTCATCTGCTGGCAAGTGTGTATGTGTGTGTGAGTGTTTAGGAGGTTCAAATGTCATAAGCTGCCCTGCTATTTTGAGTGCATACATTCTGGTGACTTGCATGTTATTCTTAGGAAAAGGGCACAGCCACTGAATGTCTACCACAGAGGCACAATGGCGAGGCTAATTGAACTGTGTGTACCTTTTGTGAGTGTGTGTGCGTGTGTGCATGTGCGCGCGTGTGTGTGTGTGCATATGTCTGAGTAACCCCCCCCCCCCCCTTTCCCGCTTCCCATCGTAAAGGATTATTTGGATTTATTGTGCAGGAGGGCTTATGTGCCCAGCTGGCTCACTTGTATAAATTCTCTTTGTATGGTGTTCTCTGAAAGACATGCACTAACACATGCATACATACTTAAAGTGCTGTATGTGTCTGCTCTGTATCTGCATACACACTCACAGCACCATATGACTCTGCTCTGTATCTGCATACACTCTCACAGTACCGCATGACTCTGCTGTGTATCTTCCACGCACGACATTGCCATTTTTACCCAGCACTCGCGTGTGGATTGCATATCTGTACAGGCGGGTGCATGCGTACATTTGTACCCACCCATGGTCAGGCTGATCCATCTCTGTTGGGTTGAGTGTAGTGAGGAAAAAGTGTAATGATGATTGTTTTAGTTGCATGTCCCTTTAATTGATGACATCATCGGGGGGGAAGGCCAGTGATGGAGGGATGAATCCCTACAGCTCTGCAGCTGGCACACGAAAGCCTCCATCCATCCATCTGTTTCACATGATATCTCTTATTTCTTATCTTTCATATTGTTCAGGCATCTTATATTTACGGCCTCTGGCCATTTGTTTGACCAGAGCAACTGAAAAATGTTGACTGTGACTGAGGCAACCTTGGATTATGTAAGCTTACAGAGTCGATACATAGGCAACATTCTGAGGCAGTGACCATGGGAAAATATGTGTCAGTTACTATTGCTGACGATATTTACCTCCTGAAGTTATGTATATTTCCTCAACATGTTTTTTATTCTTATTTTTTGTCCTTGCTTTAAAAAAGTGAGACATCACTCAGGTCTGTTTATTCTGGTCCATTTAATAAATAAACTCAATGCCAGTGTCTCTGCTGCACAGGAAGAATCTTATTAGCATGCTTTTCTGGTTGTGTTTGTGCATATGTGTGTGTCTATCAGTGTTTCAAATGAAATGATATTTTTTGCTGCCCAGTCATGTGTTGTTGACTTGAGTTGTTTCATAGTGACATACTAGTTTAGTTTAGTTTATTAGTTTATAGTATCGTGGACAATCCCAATTAATTGACTGTAGAAATAATAGTAAAAAGGGCAGCTTTAGCCAACATGGCTAATATCCAGCTGTAGTCCCCGGCCTGATGACAATAGGCACCCTAAAAAGAACAGTACATTACAGCACATTCATTAAAAAGAGTGAATTAAGAGTGAAGAGAAAAAGATAGATCAATAAAGATAAAAAGTACCAGTAAAACATCAATACAATCATGCAGAGACAGCACATATAACCAAAACATACAGAAGCAGCACATGCTATATAATCACACACAAAACGTCAGCACATACAATCACATTCAGGGATGCAGACAGACAGCACATATAGACATGCAGCGTTTATGATCATGTCGCAGTAACACACAGCCATAGGTTAGTGTGTGCAGGTGTAATTGTCAGTAAACCATGTTTTTAACTTGGCTGTAAAGGTGTGTGCCAGTAGCCAGGAGTGAATTGAAAGGATGGACAGACACCTATGTATTGATATTGAAGTGACAGATCTCAGATAGTTTCTAGCAGTTTGAATTTTTAGTAAAAAAAAATAAATCTCAGCTATATATAATTTGCTCAGACAACATATCCAAGTTTTACAAAATTGTCAGTAGCTTTATCACGACCACCATGCCAGCTGGTGGAGGAGTGTAAAAACAATCAAAGGCTAATTCAGTCATTTAGACTTTATTGCACTATAGGGAGAATTTGGTTTGTCATAAAGAACTCAACACTTACGTAAGACACAGAAATAAACAACCAACAAAATAAAGTCTCCATAGATCACTGCCACATGACAAACAGGAATTTCTTACCTCATTTAATGCAGTGAAAAATGCTTTAAAAGGTGCAATTAGACAGTGTAATGAATTGAAATGGCTGTGTGGCCAAATGGGTTTGTAGATCTGTTGAACTTAACATCTTTTCAAAAGTCTCATGATTAGTTTAATACTTGTAAGAGACCACAGTTAAGGTTATTCTCCATCTCTGTTCCCCTTGTTAACTGACCATGCATGATGAATCAAGGGCTGTGATTACTGGTCTGCTATGTGAAGTCAGAGCACATCTAGATTGAAATTAAATGAATGACATTTTAATCAGTTGAAATGCCAGATACAACAATAATGACCCCTGAATGTGTGTATTAAACTGCCATGCTACTGCGTCATGAAAAAGGCAACACTTGGCCTGGAGCAGGTTGTGATGACAGCAACCATAACAGCAACACTGTTGGTCACACGTGCGTCATTGTACAAACTACAAACTGCTCAGTATAGTAGGTTATAATTTAGATGATCATGAGACATGATGCTACACCCTTTCTGCCCTTGTCAGAGTTTGGACAGAGCTGTGTTTGTAGCAAACAGCCACCTTGTGCACAATAATGTCAGATAAGCTCACGCTGGCTGCACACGAATTTGCACAATATGTAATTATAAATACTGGATCTCTCAGGGTGATAATAACAGACAACACAATAGCTAATTGTTAATGATCAACCCAAAGTGATTCATTGCTTTCCCTTTGGTATTTGATCTATGATTCAGTATGTGACTTGAAGGTAAAGATTAGCTCTACACAGTAATCAGTAAAATAATGTAATAGTTGTGTGGTATAAGAAATGTGTTGACAGGTAATCTCGGTGATGTCTTTCTTTCTTTTCTTTTTTTTTTTTCCCCCAAGAACTCTCCAACTTTACTTTGACAGTAGAACTGATGAGCTTATCTGTTTCTCCCCCTCCCCTGCAAGTGTGCCGTCCTGTCATCTACTGCGTTTGTCACGAGCCAAGTTGTTAGGTAACAGTTGTGAACTAAAAAAAAAATAGACCGTCTGCAACCGCCTCCCATCCATTAGCATGGCTAGCAAAGGCTTAGCATGGACTGTGTGAGGGCAGGATTACAGTCAGGTGTTAAAATTGGATGCTAATCCTTGTTAGCTCTGCTTTTTAAAGCTCCATGTCATGGGCAGCGTGGCTGTCCCTGGGTAACACACAGGGTAGAAGACGTGGGGTGATCATGTCATTTTAGTTCAAAGGGAGAGAGGCAGTATTCGTACTAGTGATGATAACCTCCTTCCCACTGGACACAATATATAGTGGATAAAAAAAGGGATGTTGTGCTAAATGTAACTGTTGGTGAACTGTGGCCTCTAAATGATGATGACAATAACACATATTTGCTACAGTGAATCTAAAAATGAAACATACTTTCAAAAAAGCATTTGTCTGTTCTGTGTGTTTCCATAAAAGACTCTCTCCCCCTATAATTTACAACAGTCTAATGGTGCTTACCATGATCATTTGCTGTGAATTTCCTGGGTTTACTGCAAGTGGGATTACTGCAACTGTGTTTGTGCACACTGTGTATACACCAATGCTAGGCAGATGTCATTTAAAGTAACAAATCTCCAGCATGCCTTTCTGTATTCATGAGAGCCTGCATTTGTGTGGTTTACTCAGCTCTCCGTAATGTAATCACACAAGTGCAGCATGGGACTCCTGATCCCGCTGGACTTTGAGAGTAGGAGCTCTAAGGAGGGTGTTCAGACATCATCAACACAAAAGTGCAGTTTAATACATGCATTTTTTAACTGTATAAAAGCAACATATCACTAGCAAGCTCAAATAAGATGATATCAGTGACGCCTTAACTGAGCCTCTGACCTTTCATGTAGCGCTACCATGAAGCCAAAACTTCCCCTTTAAGAAACAACATCAAAATGTAAATGACATGACATTTTCTTTCGCTCCCCAGAGCCTAAACATTTAGCATTTCAGACACTTCCTTCTGTTCCACCTTCAAGCCAAATCGTAAACTGTGTACACAAGTATCTCATAATGTTATTGGTAGATTTGATAAGAATTTTCTGTGGACATTGATGCTCCCAATGGGGAAAAACCCCTTTAGATTTTAAAGAACCCATGGCATTTTCTGTAGCACCACCATTAACATTGTAGTTAACATTGCAGACCCGGCACTGAAAAGGCTGTAAGAATAGCAGAATCACTATGTTGTTAGTATATCCTCAGCATGTTGTTGCAGAGTTTTGTTGACTCCCTCCAACAATTTTGTGGGTTGTAATGAGCACTGTAGTCTCTCATGGCCACTAGCAGGGCTTCAGACTTGTAGTCTTGTTAATCCTAGTTAGTAGCTGTAGGAATCAGACTGTCACAGGGAGGCCCAGTACTTAGAGCTTGCCTGGCTGAAACTTGGATAAATCCTTGACTGGAATGCCGCAGAGTAGAGGGCAGAGAGGACACGGGGCCATATGGTCATTCCTTTAAGGGTCTATTAGCTAACTTTATATGAAACTTGATGATTATTTGCTTTTGTGTGATGGCTGAGAAGGGGGATTCTCAAATAGTGAATTATATTGGTATTATTATGTTGGTTTTGCTATGATACAATTAAATTCCCTGTCAATCTGGCTTGGCTCACGGCACATAGGCATGCAGGGTCATATCCACAATTGAGTTGAGTCTTTCAATTGAGTTGTAATGAAAACAGCACTACATTGCTGCTGAGAGCCCTGTGGAATAACCAGTGTATGTTGCTTATGGGTCTAGTGGCAGTACTTGGACTACACTTTAAAATTAGCCCATCACTATTATAAGCA